TTCCCCTTGAGACCTGAGACCTGAGACCTGCAGGGTTGGGGATTGCATATATCTTTTCCAAATTTTTCATGTGACTTCTAATTTTGTTGATAATGTTGTTATTGCCATGCAAAGAAAAAGTTTTTTCCAGTTTCTTTTAATGACTATATTTGTAAATCCTATTGTTTCTGATTTTGCATAGTTAGGACAATTTTCTTTTTTCCCTCAAGTCACAAAGAAATTCATGGCCCACTTGCAGGAGATGGTGTGTTTTGTTACTTACATTTAGGTCTTTGTTCCATTGGTTTGGAAATTACTCACATAGGACTGAGGAACAGATCCATCTCTTTTCTTCATGTGGCTATGTTTGTATGCAGACATCATTTATTAATTAAGTAGATCATATCTTGGTATCATGTCTGGTTATTATCATAGTGTCTGTGTCTGTACCTGGCAAATAGTAGGCTGTCAAAACTGATAAATGATTGAAAAGAGTGTCTCTTGAAGAACATCTAGTTTAGCTACTCTATTAAATAGATTTTGATTATTATCCTTTTGCTCTAAAAGGTTTTCTAGAAATATTGGAAATCTATTTGATACTTGATTAAATTAGAATCTATTACAATGAATCTACTAGTTGTAGAAGATATAGTATAAACCAGTATGGTGGTCATTAGCTTGTTAATGACTTTATATTTAACTTTTCCATGGAAAAAAGACTCAAAAATATGACAGATTAAATAACCATTATTCATTTTCCAGAAATCTCCACCATTCATATTTTTTATGTATTTATTTTCTGTGGTGTGGTTGTGGTTGTATGTGTATAAGCACCATGTTATATGTAGTTTTGTGTCCTGATTTTGGTGAGAGAGGCTTTCTAAGAGTATATTATCTTGCTGTCATCACCCCCCCATGTTAAAAAGTTTTAACAGCAGTAGGTATTTGATAGTTATCAGTATAGCACTGTATTTTACTTCACCTAAAGTCTGTTTTTGTAATATTAGAAGTTAAGTAATACTTTGAAAACTTAAGTCCTAAATATTAAATCCTAACTCTTTGCCAATTTTATATTGAATAATGGAATATTGAATAATTAATAAATTCTGATTGACTCATGATGCAATTATAAACATTGGAGTCTCTTCTAGTTGTAATTTTTTTTTAATTTGACTGCTTAATGCTTGTGCCAGTTCACATCATAATTAGTGCTGCTTTGCAATAGATTCTCTTAGGGTCATTTGCAGCATTATCTTATCTGCTGGTACCTTTTTTTCTTATATTCATTTTATATTACTTTTGTGATCTTCATCTACACCAAAAATACATATATTTAAGATTTGGTTGGGCTTACATTGACCCTGTAATAATGTTTTCTCCTAGAATGTTTAAAAATGTAGATGAGTGAAGCACATTGAGATTTTTCAATGTTTTAAAAAAAGTTCTTGTTACCTAAAAAATAGTCTCTTCTTTTATTGTCAAAAATTTTATACCTCTCAGCAAAACTAGTTTTCTTCATAGAAATCCTCCTTTTTGTTGGGATTATTCCTTATTCCTTATTTTTCAGATGTCTCTGTTGTGAGTTGTTTACAAATATGTTGTATAAGGCTGTTGTTTTAGTATTTTAATACTGTTTTTGACTGATTTCCCAAGTTCTTTTTATTTTGTGAGCAAGTGGAGTCTATTGGGTATTACATAGTAGTTTTTCCTTTTTTTATAGTTATTTTAGTTCAGGAATTGTTGAGGTAGTCCTAGTCGTTAAAATGGTTTAAAGGAACATTCACAGGGACTTACTTCATATACAGTGTAGAAGTACAGTTGCTATTGAAGTGAGAACAGGGCTTTCAAATGCCACTTTCTTGGTTTCACTATTTCTGAGATAACTGAGGAAATGGGTTGGAATTGTTAAATCATAAAACAGTGTCTAATTATGGGCTTTAGACATTGACATCCTCATTGCTATTCTTGATTTTGTTGGACAATTAAACAGGATTTGACTAACCGAATGTTGTTGAAGGTGATTTGGTCTGTTCTCAGTTTTTTAGGAATATTAAAATAAAAACTGGGAAAACCTTTTTTCAGTACTTTTAAGGAAATCTGTTGAGGTGATTATCATGTGAGGAATTTGTCATGTGACTTTGTTAGGTTTTTTTCAGACCTTTAGTAATGTCAGGAAATTATCACTCCCAGCAGGATGTCATGTATTATGTTTGTTACTTATATTGAAATGTGTTTGTAATAATAATTATTACACTGAAGCAAATAAGCCACATTAGTTTTGTTATGTAAATAAGTATCTTTTGACCATTTAATTACATTTTATTTATAAAAGTTTGACTCTGACATTACAGCTTTCTGTTTATTACTTTTTATGATGCTGATGCTTTAGTTGTATTTCTTCTAGCATTTAGGTCAGTATACTGTTTGAAATGAATTCAAATGTGACTAGGATTCAGGTAGAAGTTAAAATAAGTAGATGCGGGCAACTGGGTAGATGCTTTAGCTGCAGTTAGGCATTAGCCATTTCTTGTGGTAAAGGGAGAGAAAATAATTTGATGTAGATAAACATTTTTTTTTCTTTCCTCTGGCAAGTTGTGTCTTGAGAGCAGTAGGTTTGTAATTCATGCGTGGAAGAGCATGAGTGGATGTTTATTGGAAGAACACACGGTGACAGGTTTCTTCCTGAAATTCAGAATGCTGCAGTTTAGTATTGATGCACATTACGAGTCTTTGCGGTAACATACAGGTGATATATTGTTATTCTTCGAGGCATTTTAGAAATGTATTTAAGTAGAGATTTCTTTCTTTTTATGTCTGAACTAATTTAATAGTCAAATTTTCTGGTGAAGCAGTTAAAATGGAATGAGGGTGCACACCTGAATAAGTTAAACGGGCTTTACCACTACACCTCAAAACCGGAAGTGCCTAAACAGTATAGTGGGGAAATGCACTGCCACTTTTGTACATTAAAAATGATTGTGCTTCACAAGAAGTACCTTTTATAATTTCTAAGTGCCACCCACCTCCTGTGTACAGAAGTATCTCTTTGCCCAAAGTAGCAAGAGATAAGCAGTAATGCACATGAGTTACACAGGTTCTGGTCACTATTCACCAGCGGCTGCAAAGGAGAAGAGAAAATACCTGAGAGATAGATGTTCTCTCCTCATTATCTTTATTTGCTCCTAACGTCATGTCCCCTTCCATTGAGTGAAAAGGGCTATGAAGCCTGGAGGCCCTGGAAAAGAACGAAGAACAAGCAGAGAATGGAAGAATAGAGCAAGGGGCCATTTTTGCTTAGCTTTGTAGACCTTTTCACATTTGTCATAGATGAAATATATAGCAGAAGAGCATAATGACTGACAGCAAGATTTTGGGAATGGAAATCTGCTGCTCTTACTAGCGATATGATCTTACATACTTAACTTTTTACATCAACCTAACTTCACTTTTTGTAGTGTTATGAGATCATGTATGTGAAGTGCTTTACCACAGTACTAAATACACTGCTTCCACAGTCAGTAAATAGTTCTGCTCTTGTTACTGGTATTAGTTTAGTAAGATTTTCTGAAATAAATAGTATTAAGATTTCAGTTGAGATTGTATCTGATTGTGCTATATACAAAACCAAATGAGGAGAAATCAAAATTAGTTGTCTTAGATTTTGATCATGTCTAATCTTTATCAAAATAGACTACTTTGAAAGTGTTGAAACTTTTTGATATTTTTAGCTTCTAAAATATTAGCACATTCCTGCTGGCTTGAACCTTCTGTGGTACATACATGCCTGTCCCACTGGGTGGCCTGTACCATTAGTGGTACAGATGGATCAAATCACTCTTACTGGTGTTTTCACTGATAAAATTAATGAAAAGCCGCCCAGTAGGACAATGTGCATATACCACTGGTGGTTCAAGCTGCCTTGCAGCAAGCTACAGTCTTGTGAACATGTTAACACTTTGAGCATAAAGATAACATATTTGCTCCTGTAATTTTTTCTTTGACTACGTCCAGTGCTGTAATTTAAAATTATCTTTACATATGTCAAGAATTACATAGTACTGAGAGAAGACATAATTAATTGGTAAGATATTTAAAGATTTTATTTTGCTCAAGAAATCAACTTGCATGTTGTTTGAAAATGAAAAGTCAAGTTAATAGTAGAATATTTATTTTGAAATAAGGATTTTATTCATTATGAAGAACTTCACTGTGGGATCCGTTCCCGTTTGAGAACTCAATGTCATCAGATTATTTCTTAAGGTAGAATTATTGGGAATATAGAAATGATTATAAATTAATTTCTGAGGAAGTTAAATGTCTGTTAAGAATTGTTTTTTGTAATTCATTTCTTTCAAACTTAATTTTTTCTTGAGTACAGTACTATTTTTTGAAGATCCTACACTATACATACAATTTGGATGAATACCCCTCAGATTCTGGTGGTATTTACATACCCTGTGCATGCTTACACAGATACTCTTTTTTGGCTTTTTTACACTTCTGAGATATAAATCAGAGGGAATTACTCTATAGTGATGGAAGAATTCCATTTTTATTAAACACTAATTTGATGTTATCCTCTTATGTATGTGTTTTTCTTTTTAGCAACTTATTCTACAATCAGAATAAATTAAGTGAAAAACAGACTTGAATCAAGAGGAGAAGGTCTTACTAGGTCATTTTTTAGAATTCATGTAGAATAGAACACAGGCTACTGATTTGAAAATGGGAGATAAATTGAATGTAAAAGGAATTCAACGTGTTAAATAATATGAACTTAAACTTTTCTATGATTCTGAACTGTAATAAATGTTATAGTTTTATTCTGGTGATTTATCCCTTCATAATAATCAGGGATAACAATGATTTTTTTAGAAATTAGATAAATGTTCTGATAATTGATGCATTTGTATAAAATAAAAACACTACTTTAAGGTTAATGGATTAGTTTTTCTTGATTGTAAAGTCCACAATGGAGCCAAACAAAATTACTGTAAAAATATTTGTATTGTAACACTCAGTAAAGTTTTTTATCTTTTTATTAAAAACTTGATAAAAGTGCTTCATACACATTATTCACCCTAGAGTCAAGTGTTCATCAAACATTTGTACTTTTTCCCTCCATCCCTCCCAAAGAGGTTTTTAATTGGTGATGCAGAATTTTGTCATCTACCAAATTAAAAACTGCAGGTTTGTAAACTTGGCACTCAGAGAAAGAAATAGGTGCCATAAAATGGTGAAGTGTTGGCATGTGCACACCTGCCGTCAGGAAATAAGCTTTCCATATGTTGCAGTTTGGCAGACATGCATCTTAAAAATGTATTGAATGAAACTGCTGCTGTACTCTTTTTCCTGTAATATCTCCACTATTTTTAGTGATTACTTTTTCTTCAGTTAGAGGAACAAACATGATTTATTTTTACAGGAATACTTGAAGTCAGATATACTTGAAGTTAAATGGCAGTACTCTTCAAGAGTATAGTATTTAATCTAATTGAATAACTCAATAAAATACTAGCTTGGCTTGTAACACCAGTGAAGAAACAAAATTTATCTATTTGGTAACACTTGATAACTTTTTAAAATAAAAACTTCAGCCTGAGACACATTAATTTTTCACATTTTATCACGTCATGTTGAAATAATTCGCCCAATATATATGAGTAATAATAAAAGAAATACGATGAGTATCTCAACTTTTTAAAAGTTTAAATAGATGAAAACAGTATTGGTGAGACATCTGAACTTTATGGCAGTTTGTGGAATAACTCAACTGAATCTTATTGCATGGAATTTAGGTTTTTAAAACCCTAGAATAGTTCAGAAAATTTGTCCTTTGCACAATTACAAAGTGTCCTTAAAATTGTTAGCAGTGTTTTATTTACATTTAATTATATATTGAAATGAAAAGCTAAATCTAAAATGAAGAGTCTTTTGACTGTCTTCATTTCTTAAATTAAAATTTATGTGAAAATATATGCAGATATATTTTATTGGCCCTAACATAAGACTTGAACCATCAGTGTACGCATACTTGTTATTGCATGGTAATACATAGAATTGCCTTGTACAGTTTTTTAGATTCGCTTGGGATATCTTGTCATCATTATGATGTCATACTGTTAACTGTTACCTTCAGAAATTTAAAAAATAATTTTTGAATTCCTTTATGTGGTGAGTTTTAACTAAAACTTGTCCTATGAATGTATTTTAATCATACATGCTTTTAGCATTATTTACAGATTGCACACTTGAAAAAAATTATTCTTTTTAGTGTAGTTTACGGTGACGATACCTGCCTGCCTTTTCTTTTGCTGCGTTGGCACAGGCATTGTGCTTATTTTGTTGTAAATGGTTCCAGTATTTTATCAGTTCACTAGGCTGGAACTGATGAGAGGTAATTAGGTGGCTGTATTTACAGCTTGAATAAGAAACTCGCCAGTGATTGAACACAAACTCATTGGGAGGGGGCACAGGATCAATTCTCAACTTGGCAAGACAGATTCCTACATACACATCTTCCAAGTGCAAACGACGGATACCTAAAGAAACTTTAAATATCTTTTCTGCCAGATCGCCAGAAAATACATAACCAGTTCCAGAACAGAAGACAGGGTAACGCTCACTTGGGTAAAGGTCTGGTGGCATGTACCACTTGCTGTCTTTGTTTCGATTGGGTGCATATCCTCTCATTAGGTAACCGGTAAAATAGTTATGTCTAGGAGGCAGATCTGGCTTCAATAACTTATGTATTAAATACTCAGTATTGACAAACATGTCACTGTCAGTTTTCATAACATATGGAATATGTGGACAGTATGTTGCAACCCAGTGCATACCCATTAGTGTTTTAATCGTCAAATTATAGTATGTATCTAAATATTCCTGTTGAATTATATCATGATATTGTCTACTTTCTTCCAGTATTGCACGTTGAAGGTAGCCATTTAGCTTAATACTTATTCCCAACAAAAAAATTCTTGTGATTTGGATGCCAGGCGCTAAGCTTTCATTGCCCCACGTTTGCCGAATAGCTCTTCTAGCTTCTATTTGTCCAGGTTCTGCAGCTATTAGTAGTATTAAAAAAGGACTTTTCTCTTGGCATTTTTCAGGCTCATTAATAATATATTTGAAATGGTAAGAATTTGGATGTCCAGTACCTTTTTCATTGTAAATACTTCCATTGGCACTAAGCGTATTCTCTAGCCCTGTAACTCCTTGTGGTGAAAAGTCTGTGTTATTGGAGTTAGTTGCTGGTTGAGGCCTCAGTGTTTGAGGGGCTGTTTCTTTCCAAATGTTGCGAAGGGAGCTATGGTTTGTGTCACTTTTTGTAGAACGAAATCCTCGGAAAGTGTATGTCACAGGGTTTTCTTTGAATCCAGCTCTACCTGGCAGCCAGTCATGATGATTAAAAAACAGGAACATGGCAAAAAGAAGCACTAAGGAAAGTACACCAATAAGATGAGTGCGGAACAGAGACCTCTTGCCATTCCAGGTCATTTTTGCAAAGCAGCAGTGTCTTCTCCTCCACTGAAGCATGTTGTAAATATCCAGTAATGGAATGAAAAATATTAGTGGCTGGAAAAACTGTTTTCTTCTTCTGAATCAATACTATTCTTTGGTAGTCATTTTCTAGTTCAGTCACGCTGAGTCCCTCGCAGTCATTCTGTAAACAGAAAGCAAAAAGGTTTATAATATGCCAAATCTTACGGAACTCCCTAAAAGGAACTCTGGATGCTAGTAAAATAAACAGGTAGTAGTGAACATTTCTTATGCTGTGAAAATATATAACCCAGAAACAAAGTTCTTAATGTACTTCTCTTTGGCAACATAACATCACTGAGATCAGGATTGTTTACTTTAAAAATACATTTTTTGTAGCTCAGTGAGCAGTTTAAAGGGAAGTGATACATTTGCTTATAGTTCTCTGTCTCACTAGTTCTGCTTATTTGTACCTTCAACCTAAGTTAAAGACTTAAAAGTTGGATCCATATAGAAAAGAAAAGTCGTACTAGATTCCCGACAAAGGCTGAGTAAGAAGGCCTTGGGAACAGATGGGAAATTTATTGGCATTAATTAAAATTGATTTGACATACCATTGGTGGTATGGTGCGCAGTCAGCAGCCTTTTTTGTAAAATGGTCATGTATCAGTTGTGGGACAGACGGTGCAAGGTTGATTATGGCAGAGTTCTGTTAGTCACAGTACACTGCTTGGCATGTTTCCATTGGCCCCTACTGTGTTGAGAAAGTCAGTGAGAAGATGCACCTGTCAGAATTAATTTTCAAGGTCCAGTAACTTTGTTGTAAGATTTTTAGACAGTAATAAATGATCACCATTTTCATGTACTTTTCTGATTTTAATCTCCCACCTCAGATATGAAGTATTCAGAAATTAAAGTTGATTTTATAATATAGCAAGTAATTATCTTTAATTATCTGTAGTGTTGGCAGAGGAGCACTTTTTTCAGCTTTCCTATGATATATGAACTGTAGTTAGTATCAAATCCAACTCTTTAAAATTTGAGTTTTCACAGACTATATTTACAAAGTTTCCAGAGCTGTGTTGTTAGAAGTTTGCATGTACAGAATTCATTAAAATTTTAAGACTTCTTTCTATATAGCACAACACAAAAATTTTAAGTGAGATTTAAAAAAAAAGTTATGAGATATCAATATGGGAAGTTTGTGATGTCATATGTTAAAAGCTGGTTATCTTTCAGCAAAGTTTTCAGTGCATAGTACAAACTTGTTATTGTTTGATCTTAGTTGTTTTCTGTTTGTCTTTACATTTTTCAGAGCAGGAGTGGAGTCGTAGAGGTAGGTGAAGAGCTATAGCTTAAATTTCATTAAATGAGAAAAACTTTTGAGAAAGAAGACAACACATGTAATTTTGATTTGTCAGTTCTTTACTGAAATTATATTTCAAGTAAAAGCACAATGAAAACATTTTTAATGTAACACTTATTCAAAATATATGTGAATGCACATGGTTATTTAGCCTGTGATACTGAATAATCATGGTTAATAAAATTGTCTAACCTTGACATGAAATTAGTTTTAGAAAATAATAGCATATACATGTACATACTCATAAAATTTGAATAATTGTAGTTTAAATTTATGTAACGTTAAGTTCTTTAAAAATACTGATTGAAAGTGTTGGGTATGTATGAATGAAAGTCCTGTTTTAGCAGCAGCCACTAGGAGGAGCAAGAAGGCGGGAATTTGAATGGATTCTGGAGTGCGGCAGGACAGGCGCCAGCATTTAATAATCTCCAGTTTCTGAGGTGATATGGTGCTTTTAGCAGTTATACTGTTTCTGAAACATAAAATATTTAATCATTTTGATAAATGTGAACAGGGTTTTTTTTTTAAAAAATTCTGAGATTTTAAGAAACAATTTAGTTTGCTATTAATGTTTACTTATATGAATTTTAACCTCACATTATTGTAATGAAGACCAAAGCTATTCGCTGTATCAACAAAGCATAGTTCTGCTGTGAGCTAAGCTGAAAATAATAGAGCTGAGCATTCTGACTTAGAGACTCAGTTTTTTCCTTTTGTGCTTGTAAATAGTTGGCCTTCCTGTTTAGGTTAGAAAACTATTTTTCAGTTATTATTCCAAAATCGTATATTTGTTTTGATAAGTAGTAATGACTCCCTTCCTCTATAAAGAGATCAGCAGATTTATGGGTTGTGTAGGTACATTTAAAAGAAACAAAAGTTACTTTTAAAGTTAGTTTGATCTATTGCAAGTGTTCCAAACAGATTAAATGAAATCAATCAGTTTTATATTGCTGTAATAATGCTCCTAATCTGCTTCAGGTTCAGTCATTTAGAATAGATCTTTTAAAGGTATAAATTTATGGTTTAAGAAGCAATAAATAAAAAACCAGATATTTCAATGAGCAAAAGACTGAAGAAGTTCATGAAGGTAATTATTATAGTAATAATTTACATTATTTTTATGAAAATAATATACCCAAAATATTTTGAAGTCTCCAAATTATTTTAATGTTACAGAAAATAGCACATTGTCATGTAATCTAGCATAAATACATAATTTTAGTTCAAATATAATTATGATAGAAATATATCTTAAATTTCATGATAGTTGTATGTGAGTAATCTACAGGCTTCAGATATGTATGTACCTATTTTTAATCTTCCACTGATAAATGAAGCTCATGTGTCTTACATCAAAAAAGTCTTTTTAAATGTTTCTTAGATACTATCTTTTTAAATGTTTCTTAATACTAATTTTCCTGTTCAAAAGAAAATAAAATTGAAATAACTATTTCCCACTTTATTCGATGATAAAATTATTCTCCAGTGAATGCCTATTGTATTTTAAATCTTAAAAAGTAAGAACAAGACAAGAAAGTTAAATATTTTGGCATGCTAGATAGTTTTGCACTTTTGTATTTTTAGAATAGAGATAGCTTTATCTATTATATTTCTTTTTCAGTAATAATACTTGGAATCTATTTATATCTTATGGGTAGAAGTTCATTGGGATTATGTTGGTATAAAATGCAGTCCACTTCATGCGCTTGCACACACACATGCACAAGAGTTTTTATCAATTTACTTTTAAAAGTGTTGTCATGTTTAGTCTATTGGAATAGTCCCAGATTTCCGTGGTCCTTAAAATAGAAAAACTTCTACACTTTTGAGATGTCTGGCTTATGAAACTGCTTAATTTGTGACTTTAACAATGACAAAGGTACCAAGAGGAAATTTAGTTTTACAACTGCATGTGTTGTTCTTGTGTAATACTACCATATTTCAATATTCATTAGAATAAAAATTCACGGTTTATGATTCACAGTTGGTGTTGAGATGTAATAGAGCTTGATGAACTTGTTTAACCTTAATTTTGAAATGCATGGCTTACATACATCGTAAGAATGTTTGCCTTCTGATTATTGAATATGAAACTGAGTGAAAAAAATAAAATCTTGATGAGTTTGTAAAATTTTAGAAATATCTGAGTTCTTGAACCCTGAGTTGCTATTGTTGGTAAAATAGTTTATTTGGTTCATCTCTGAGCTGTATACATATACAGTGGCAGTAGTTTATTACTACATATCACTAAGCATATTTACTACACTTATATTTAATTTTTGAGCTTATATTGCTGTTCATGTGTTATTTTTATATCACAGTATTTTCATACTATGTTTTTGAATTTCACTTTTAAAATCTTCAGTAACAATTTTAGCTTTGATCATGCAGAATCTGTTACCTAGCATAAAAGCTCATTATTTTAAATAGGATAATTTTTAAACAAGTATTGATATTCCTTTGTTTAAAGTTGTGTTCGTGGACTCTGTAATAACATGTGCCTCTACTGTGGTGTTATGCTGTGCATAAACTCATACTACCTTATGTGATACTATGCTGATTCTTTCGGTTTAATATTCTTTTGTAGTTCAGCAGTACTTAAAATTTATTGATACATTGTTAGACTGTGTTCATTACCTTTTTTTGGAAAGAGAGATGGGAGGGAAGATTTCATTACTATAAGCTCTTAAGATTTTGTTTTAAAAGGACTTTGCAAAAAATAACCTTCGTAATAATTAAGATCATACTAAATACTATTTAATGTAATTTTTACTGCATTATCTCTTGATAGCCATTTTAAAGAGTTTACTGTAATTTACTAGATAAAGATTCAGTCTGACCTAATTTGATAGAGGGTTGCTGTTTTCTATAAAGGGCTACAAATTTTTTTAAAGTTTATTTCTCAGAGAATCCTTTAAGTACATTTTGTCTATTAGTCTTTTTCCTCTTACATGTCTATACTCCAGAATTACTCCAAGCTACATATTTAGCTGAATACAGCAGTGACAGATTGTCTTCTAAACAATGACAAATTTCAAAATCATACATTTAGAAACCCTTTCATAGTTTCAAGGGCAGTGCACTATATGAACTTGTTTATTAAGTATTGTGCCTCTGGGGCTATAAAAAGGTAACACATTTAAATGAACATCATGCACAAGATATTGACATACCTTCCTTGGTCAGGCCATTTATGTGGAGAGGATTATACCACTGAAAGTACTTTTGGCACGCCATCACTTCAGCAAAAAAGATGCTGTCGAACATGCGCACATCCCCCAACAGTCTGCCTCCTGCGATTGCTTTTCACAGTATCCAAAGTGTCCATCTGTCGGCTTGTCTTCGAGTTACCCTCCTTGTTCATATGGGTCCTAGTCTTCTGAGATTTCCCCTTTCATTTTCTCTCTTGTTAGACAAAAGAGCTGTAGTTGTTCGTTCTATTTGGAGCACTGTTGACTCTTTCCGACAGTTGATGCATTGAAGCTTTTTACATCTGCTGTTTTCCTGGCTGGACAATGCAGTGCTGTGTTCTCTTCTCAGTATCCATATTTCTAGTAGTAACACTGAACTGCAATGTAAAGCAGCAGAGCTGGAATCAAGTGCTTCGGTTGTATTGGAAAAGAATAGGATTTACCTTTCTCCTTTCATTGTTGCCTGGCAGCTGCAGGAAAGATTTTTTTTTCCGGAGCAGTTTTACTGGGGTTTTAGTCTATAATATGAAATCCACGGTTCCTCAGCTGCTGCACAGGCAGGCAGCAGTTTAAATGTGGGCTTGACAGATGCTCTCTCTGACAGAGCAGAATTTAACGTCACTGCTTGGCTGAATCCCACGTGATTGTTTGCATTCATTTTGACCAAAAAGCTAAGGTAGGGAGAAGCTTAGAGAGATTTTGCTTCTGTGTGATAAATATGTATGTTCAGTATAAGTGTAAGGATGTGTAAATAATCAGAAAATGGGATGATTATGAAAGGAATACTTACGATTTTATTTTTACAGCGTTTTTTCTTTTTATTTTAACTTAAGCATGGGCTTTCTAAATATTTCTGTTGGATGGGGGCTTTCATGTTTCTTACATGCTTTAGTGGAGCATAAGTGCTAAAAGCTCATATATATGTTGGTGTGATTTAACCCTTTCAATGCTTCTGCCTTTTGAAGTATTTTTTCCCCTAAAATTGCTCCGATTTTGCCAGGATAGTACTTAAAGTCATAGACTATGCATTTTATCTGTAACTTAGACTTTTTCTCTCCTATTTTCTGCATTTTACATTTATCAGCTGCCATGAATCACCTTACTATTGCATGTGGTGATAGGACCCACTTGCTTTATGCTCTGTGATTTCTATCATTCTTGAAGGCGGTAAACTTACCTGTAATCACTTTTTAATGTAAGCATTTAAACTTTCCCTTTAAAATTACAGGTATCACAGAATTCGATAAAATGATTTAGTAGATGCAAGAGATTGAAATGCACATGTGAAGAATCTTATTGATGAGTGATGGGGTTTTGCTAATTCTGTTTACATATTCTCATATTGTAGAATGATTTAATTATTTGCCATCAAGCACTTTTCTTACATTCTGAAATCCTTCTTAGTGTGGTTAGTTTCCTAGGCAGGTTAACATCTTGCCTCTTTTTGTTTGTAACAGGATTGGGGCATTTTCTTTGTTTCTTAGTAGTCTTAATTGTCAGTTCTTCTGATATTTCTGGGAATAGTAACTCCTAGAAATCTGTGATTTTGGAGCTTAAGTTATGTATTTATAGTTATATATATGTTTCATCTGACAAGTCTTCCTCAGTAAACATGTTACTTCAAATAACTGAAGATGTATATTTTCTTTAACAGTTAAGAATTTTTGTCTTAATAATGTTTTTTAATTCTGCGAATGAAATATGCTCTGCAGTTTCAGTATCTCCTGTGACCTTGTTTCCTGATAATGTGTGTGACTTTCCTAGAAATATTAATAAAGAAATGAAAGTAGAAAAATTTATAAATGGAAAACTAAGGCCTACAGCTTAGATTTTTCTTAGTCAGGTTTGAAGGAGAGGATTAAAACCTAGGTTTCTTGACATTCAGTTCTTTTGTTGGGGGGCATATATTGCGTTTTCCGAATGTCTTATATTCCAATATGGGCTCAGTTGAGCTCCCCAGGCTAGTCTTGAGTGTGTGCTTCTCCTGCCTCGGAGTGCTGGAATTATAAAGTGTGTACCACCATGCTTGGATGGCATTTAGTCCTTACATCAACTGTTACTTTTTTAAAAAATTAATTTTATTTGTACACTTTAGGTATACATAATGATCACATTCATCATAGGGAATTTATACGTGTACATAATATGTCTCGATTCTTTTTTTCTCCCATTTCCTCCCCTTGCTTCAGCCCTTCTTCCCCTCCTTATTTACAAAGCTGCTTTTTATTGTTGTTAATTAGATGAGCTAGGGAACAGAATAATGCTTATGAATCTACTTAAAGAAACTTAGTTTTCAGAAGTAGAAATGAGCATCTGTAGGTCAGTGTTTATTTGTGGTTCCTTATGTGTGATTTAAGTGCCAAGTGATAGTGGTCATTTACTTTTTACCCAAAGTCAGATTGTGTGCTAACCAATCTGAGGTATTATGTAAATGACTTGTATCCTTCATAATAGTTGCATTATTGTAATACCTATTTTAAAGATGAATAACTAGTGCCAAGAGTTGTTAATTAGCCCAAATATTAGCTAATTAGGGATGAGAAATTTCAAGTTGGGAATTTTGAAGCAGAATTATCTAAATTCTTACGTTCCATTGGTAAACATGGTTACTGGAGAAATTGTGAGAATTTTTTCCCAGTACTGGCACAGTATACTCAGGAATCATTGATAGACTTATAAATAGATGTTTATGTGTTCATTTTACCTTTTCAATAAATGCATATAAATATGAATATAGGTATATGGTGCAGCTACTGTATACCATCATTTAAATTTAGGCACACATTATTTACTGTTAAAGATACAAAGATGATTTCCTCTCTCCGGGGAAGGATTTTTTTGCCAATTCTTTTTTTGAAATACACTTTTAATTTTAATGGACACAGTAGTCATACTTATGAGGTACAGTTTGACATTTCATATAGTGTGTAATGATCAGATCAGACTAATTGGTATTCATCACCTTTGCCACTTCTTTTCACTGGGGTCTTTTTGATGTCTCACTGGATTTATTGTGCATCTTAATTATTGAAGGATGGGGAAACAGTTAATGGTGACTACCAAGGGCCTCATGAATGCTAGGCAAGTACGCAACCACTGAGCTCTCCCCCTGGCTGTGGAATCACAATTATTAAGAGATCTTTATGGTTAACCTACTTATTAATGGATCCCCTCCAGTACTGAGTTGAGCCCCTGAATTATCAGTGGGTTGTTTTCTTCTAACTGTTTATTAAGGAACAAATGTTTGTACAGGGAAAAAAAAAAAAAACTAAAATCACAAAAGATGCCTATGTACTTACCTGGAATTCACTTTAAACTTTTAGGTACACCTGCAAGTTATTTCTTAACTTTAAGTTGAACTGATTAAGAACTTCATAAAATTCAGAAAAATAGCACATGTGAGATAAAAGTTCACTTAGTGACTTTTTTCTAGCAACTGACATGTTTGCAGTCAAGAGAAGTAACTCCCCAATCAACAAGTCTGTACAAATTCTTCCTTTAATCTAGCTTCTTTCAATATATGAATTCTATTAATAAACCAACAGTAAAAATGTCATGGGTTTCTCAGACTCAGCAAACTGCCAGCCACTTTAAGTTTATAGTTACAAGTGGCTTGTAATTGTTACTTGTGTAGGTCTACATTTTAATCTTACAAACATCCCTGGTGGAAAAAGGTATCTTTTATTCTGTGCTTTATGGCCAAAACTGTCTAGCTGGTCTTAGGGCTTTTCTGGTGGGCATTTGTGGAAGAGCGCTCAAGGAACTGGAATTTAAAGACAAGATTTGTAATGTCTTCTAATTCATAGTTTCTACTGGATAGAAATAGGGTAGTTAACACAATTTGAGTGCTTAATATATGAAGAAGCAGATGTAAATTTCATATTACTGTAGGTAACCTAGGGGGATAGGTTACCTAGTTTATTTTTTTGTGTATAAATTTTACTGTAAAAAGATTGAGAGGAAAAGGATTGGGGAAGCACACTTCAAACAATAAGCAAATATCTGGGTCATATGAAAAAGGAGGCATAAATCTATTCTTCCCTGCTTTGGTTTTCATTCTGGTTTCTGTTTAGCCTGAGTAGTTGTCCCCTGAATTTAAGGTAGTTACTTCAGCAGGTCCTCACAAGAACTCCTTTGCAATGTTGGACAAAAAACTGTTAGGTGTGGTGGTGCACTCCTGTAATCTCAGCACTTGAGAGGCTGAAGGAGGAGAACTACCACAAGTTAGAGGCCAGCCTTGGCTGCATAGTTCAAAGCTAGCCCAAACTACATAGTGAGACCTTGTCTCAAACCCCTCCCTGCAAAAAACAACTTAGTGTTTTGCATCAGGTATGATTTTTATACCACTCTGAAAATTGCCATGTGACAGTTTTCTGAGACCAGTTTAGTTTTAACAGCAGTTTTGCATAGTAGTATCTGTTAGCCTCATGACTGTTTGATTTTAAATTAGATAGCTTTTTAAAATTACATAAGTGATTTGGGGAAAAAATTTACTTTTGGTTATTTAATGTAAATACTATTTTTTAAAAGAAGTGTGTATTAAGGGTTTAGAATTTTCCTCTGAAGTTGGTAAGTGACATACGAGCCAGTTTTACTTTTCTTTGAACTCACAAAGCATTAACTGATTGCAAATTAGCAATCTCAGAATGACCACAAGTGTCAGTGTTTGCCTGCATTATTTTTCTCTTTCAGTTTTCACCAAATTATGCAGCAGATACTCAGGTTGCTTAAGAATTTCTTTTGACTTGAAGACAAAGCTAAGCTTATGTGTTTTTTTCAGAACATTCATAGGCACTTTTATTTTTTTCAATTCATGCAAACTATTCAGGATCCCAAGGGAAAATGTAAGCATTTAAAACCAGCCATCATGGGGTGTGGTGGCACACCTGTGTAATCCCAGCACTCTGGAGGCTGAGGCAGGATTGCTGTGAGTTCAAGGCCAGTTTGGGCTACATAGTGAGTCCCAGGCCAACCTGAAGTACACAGCAAGACCCTGTTTCAAAACAATAACAATAACAAAAATAAAAACAGCCGTGATTGGGCAAATACTTTATTGTGTTTATGACTTCTTGGTTTCTCAGTAATCTGCTTATTTTAGTTAGGGATACTCTTGGGCAGAGTTGTACCTTTCAGTCGGGGCAGTACTGGGGCAATATTGCTTGCTCTGTAGGAGGTGCTATAGGGATTTACTTAATGAGTAGGTTAGAGTAGGTAGTAGTGGTATGTAGGACAATCCTTGTAAACAAAAGGATTTGCTGTATAGGACTTCTGGATGTCCCATTGGATATCTTCATGGGTAAAAGATCTTTTAAAATAATTAATGAACTTAAAACATTATTGGAATATACAGTATGTATTGCAAAGTTTTAATACGTATTTACACTTTCTAGAAATGTAACTACAGATATACCACTGGAAACTCATATTTTACATTGCGTTGAACTTTGCCAGTATAGTTCATCATTTCAGAAATGCATGTTGCCTGTGGCAATGATGTTTATAATTGAATCATGAATATAGTAAAATATTTTGTGGGTATTTATAATTGTATTTTATGTAAAGGTATT